TAAACCAATATTTGCTCATTTCTTTGTCTTCTGCGTTTTCCCTTACCCAAAACACGGTTGACAGGTTGTGTTGTGTTTTAGATCCAAGCTGCCATGTCTGCATCTTTTGGCCCAATCTTCTTTTCTTCTGTGCATTTTCTGCTTTGTGCCGCTAGGCGTCGCAGGTTACCAGATGATCAGTTTTTTTAGCTAGGGCACACTCGGTTGCCCTGAATGCTTTGATGTTGTAGAGTCTCAAGATATGAGTGACTCCTTCAGTCCAATGCCTTCTTGGTAGTCCCCTGCCTCTTGGTGTTTCTACTTTTGTATTGTAAGCTATCGTTGAGGGGACCATTCGATTCCTTCCCATTAAAAAGCCAAAAAATTTTATTCTTTTTTTTTTTTTCATTGAATTTAATGATAGGCCTTGTTTCACTAGTTCTAGTAACTTCTTCGTTTCTCTTCTAGTTTTGATCACGACCTTTCTAAAATGTCTCATTTCACAAGTGGTTTCTTTTCGTTCGTGTTCTTTAGTTTCGCCAAATAGGTCTGTGTTGAGTTGAGAAGAGTCAAGAATTTACATCACAGCACTCGAAGGCATTCCCATGCGTGCTCCGTCCTCATCTTCAGCAGCCTGCGTAGGGTTCCAATACTGATGGTTCCGGTCACAATCTGATTTTATGTCCGTCTTACTTTTTTTCTATGAGTGTAGAGAGCCGGCCAGACCCTCTGGTGACACCCAGGCGCTTCATTCTCTCCAGACAAAAATAATCTTGTTTCTCTACTGATTCTGTTGCTTGTTCCCAAAGAGCATTGACCACATCTGGCTTGTCATGTATCAATTCACCACCAAGTGGTGCAGATCGAGCCAATCTGTCTGACTGTTCATTACCCACCACGCCGGCATTGCCTGGAGAAAAGATCCAAAGTATGCTCACTGCCCGTGACCTTCCCAGTGAAGCTTGCCACTCTGCTCGAAGCATCTCTGTCTTCACTTTTCCCAGCATGCTATCAGAAGAGTCTGTTACAATTACTACGTGTGTATGCATCTTGTTCTCTAGCCACCAGAGAACTGCAGCTACCGCCCCAACCTCCATTCTCATGTTAGATGTTGTGGTGTCGTATGTTAGGCTGTCTTGCACTAAAGATTTTCCATTAGCTTTCGCTATAAACCTCCAGGCACTTCCTCTCAACACCAAACCATCTGCAAAGATAATCAGATCACCTGGACGTCAATTGTCGTGAATTAGCAGCCGCTGGCCACTCTATGCCCACCTGGCCCAATGTTATCATAACCCTACACAGGTCAGACTTTTCCTCTGGTACTCTGACCCACTCTTCTCCTCGTCCAATGTTCTCCAGCAGGCATACTTGTCTTTTTGTGTCTTCTGCCAAATAGGTCTTTAGTCACCTATTACGACATGCGTGTCAGGGAGCAGTGAGTTTACCTCCCCCACCACAGTTAAAAGAAAATGGGCTGCTGGATTCCTCACGGAGTATGTATGTATACGTGCACAAAGCCTGACCTTACAGCGCATGTCACAGCTATCGTGACGGATACAGACAGAACATGCAAACAATCATGTCTATTCTGACGGTACCGTATCACGAGCTGACGATTCAAAAGCCCTTATATAACCACAAGCAAATGACAGACCTCTGCGACTTTGTCTATAAATGTCCCGCTTTTGCCGATGCCACCATTTCTAAACCCTGCCTCAGGTAATTTGATTATAATTTGCATTATTATTTTTTTTTTTTTAAATCTTATTGTGAATTTAGCGGGCCTAAAAATCATGTGTCTGAATCCACCCGAATTTACCATCTATCATATCCTCGATGCGACGGTTGCATAAAAGAATCTTTTACTTTTTCCTTCAATATAAGTTTACTTTAAATTTACAGGCGCCATCTCCGTAAGCTTGGTAATCGTCTTTTTAAAATAGAGCAGCGCAATATACATTAGATTAGTGCTGACTATCAATCATCACAACACTCAAGACAGATACATTAGGTGCTCCGATCTTCTCAAAAATTTCCACAAGAGTAAAACTATCGATGTTTCTGCAAAATAATCTGCACACTCGTTGTCTCGAACACTAGAATACCCTAAACAAAGATGAAGGTAAAGCCAACCACTAGCGAAGTGTTTATTGAGACATCTCTTCTTGTCCTTTGAACCCAACATGAATTTTTTTACGTATATTTATTAATAGAGTCACTAATAATACACATGTGTTTGTTAACTCTTGGACTATAGAAAGGTTAGTAGATGTCTATGTGGCTAGTCGGCTTGCCTGGCGACTTGAAGAAGGGGCGGTTCGTTTTACGAACTGCATCGTTCACTTAGTGAGTGCAGTCTTCATGGAGATCTCTGGGGGTTGTTGCTGCAGATAAGTAGGTCATTGCCCGTGGACGCTCTCGGCAGATGGCTGGAGAGAGACGAGGTCATATCGGTTCAAATCTTAGGCAGTAAAAGTCGAACCACATGACCCCTGTATCGACTTTATTAGTTACACTGTTGAAGATATACATTTCTCAGATCCCACGCAACCACTCCCTCTTTTTTCTTTTGACATGTAAACCATGGCGCTCTTACAAACATGATTAACTCATCCAACCCTATAGTTTTATTTCTTTTTAATTTACTAATACTTTTGGCGTTTTACTCTAATTATGTTGGGGGGGGGGAGGGAGGGGGGGGGGGTGAGGGGGAGGGGATCAGGGGCGTAGGAATTTTACGGTTTAGGCATCTTGAACTCTCCCTCATCCCTCCCCCTTTTCACACACACCCACACTAATTCCGTGAGGGCGCTACAATGCCACACACACTTCCTAAAACCAGGTATAAAATTTCATCTTCTGAGGTTTTGATCATACATACGTAAATTATTTTGAAATATTATTATACTCATTAATACACACCATTAATATCAGGCAATTAAACACAATAGGGGCCGCATCCTATAAATGTTTAGGGGGCTCATTCTCCTGCCCGCCCCCGCTATATATATATATATATATATATATATATATATATATATATATATATATATATATATATATATATATATATCTTGTGTTGGTTCCCCTGAGACAGACAATTTGGACACAAGTGCTAAAGAATGCGTCAACATTGCAACTGTTAAATACACAAGAAAAATGGACAGAATACTATAATAAAAATAAAAACGAAGCAAAAATAAAAGAAAGGTGATGAAGATGATGACGATTATGATGATGCCGATGGCAATGACGACTACAACCGCAGACAAAATAGTTACCGCGATCAAATCCAGTTAGTCTGCATGTGAACATGAATACGACAAGAACACTATTCAACACAATATTCTTACTAACGCTATGCTGTTAGTGTCACAAATTGACATCGTATTCAGAAATTAAAACTAAGTTAATTGCGTATCCTTTACAGGGAATTGCAGAGCCAACCCCAGAATTTTTCTTCGGCTGTTGTGGTTTTCCTAGGCAAGTTTACGTCTAGGAGTTTGCCATTGCTTACTAGACGGTCAGCTTCTCAATACCACTGTCAAAATAAATGCAAGGCCCGCAGCTGGGATCGAACCCGGCCTGACGGCATTACGAAGAACTATCACAACGCCTAAGCCACAGACGTCTTCAGAAGACAGAAGAAAAATAGTCAAGACAGAAATAAAATATTTACTTACTATACTAGGTGTAACAAGGAAAGATCGTCTTAGGAACATTGATATTAGGAGAAGTGTCGGCACAGAACCAATACTAAACTTTACAGGTAGACAACAAATCAAGTAGTTGAGCCATGTTACATGACTGGCATCAGACAGGGAAAGAAAGCAATGCTATACGGATACACTGCTAACATACCCAGCGGTCGACCACACAGAAGACGGACCATATAAATATCAGAGACACTGAAAAGTGCTTTATAGGAAGCGAACAGAAGCCCCATTCCAGATACCTCTTCCTGCCCTGACCCCGCCAGGCTTTTCACAAAAAGATGGGGGAAAAAATAATTAAAAAGAACAAGAAAAGTATGCATGTTTTTAAGTCTAAAGCAAAACACTGAACTAAAAATGAAAAGAATGCTGTAATGAATGCATGATTCTACATGTGTCCTACAGCAAAGAAAATAAGTGGACGTCAATTGCTGCAGGGCCGCCTTGAAACGCTAGAAAGTGCAGGACATTATATTCAAGTTGTGTTTCATATGAATTATAAATGAGACTGAGATCTTTGCCAGTTTGCCCTTGAAGCTTATTTTTGATTGCAGCACATGCTTATGTTGTTGTTTATATTCCTACTCAACCTCCTTTATCGTCGTTTTCATTTTCTTTTTTCCCTTCTCCTTCTCCTTCACCATGTCTCCCATCTTCTTCTTCTTCTTCTTCTTCTTCTTCTTCTTCTTCTTCTTCTTCTTCTTCTTCTTCTTCTTCTTCTTCTTCTTCTTCTTCTTCTTCTTCTTCTTCTTCTTCTTCTTCTTCTTCTTCTTCTTCTTCTTCTTCTTCTTCTTCTACTTCTTCTTCTTCCCCTTCTTGTTCTTCTTCTCCTTCTTCTTTTTCTTCTTCTTCTTCTTCTTCTTCTTCTTCTTCTTCTTCTTCTTCTTCTTCTTCTTCTTCTTCTTCTTCTTCTTCTTCTTCTTCTTCTTCTTCTTCTTCTTCTTCTTCTTCTTCTTCTTCTTCTTCTTCTTCTTCTTCTTCTTCTTCTTCTTCTCCAACTTTTTCTCGTCCTTCTATATTGTCTTCCTCTCCACTTATAACCCTTCTCCTTCTTTAGCCTTTCCCCTTCTTCTAAACCTCCTCATCGTTCTATCCTTTGCCTCCTACTTGTACCCTTTTCCTCTTTCTCCTTCCCATTTTTAATATTCCTCTTCTATGACAATGACATACAATTTTAATGACAAGCCATAACTTAATTTACATAAAATAGCTCATACTTCCTGCCCATGGATTATCTAACTCACCTACCAACCTTTTCAGCTCATAAAAAAATTGCGAGCAAGCCAGAAAGAAGCATCAACAGCAATGATGTCGCTCCTGGAACAGCTGTTGCTGACATTCTCGGCCCTAACATCGACAACCTACATCCTAGCTGTTCTTGCAGCAGTGGCGGCTGTCATCTACTACATCTACTCCAACGATTCCCATGACGACTGGCGCAGATATGGTGTCAAGTGCCCTAAGTTCCCAGCCTTCTTCTTTCTGGGAGACCTCAAGTAAAGTGTTGTCAACGATCGTCAAAGGGTTGACAGTTAAAACAAAGACTCCTCCTGTCGGTTCCAGGGCCCCATCGTCGGAGAAACAACAAAAGGCCCACCCTCTTCCCAACAAGCATGTCGACCAATTAGGGGCTTCCTTCCATGTCGGGGTGCATTTGCCCGAGAGGCTTGAAACCAACAATCTACATATAATTAATCAGATCCATAAAACGGATGTGCACGCAACATTCAGGTTCTGGAACAAGACTAAAGTCCAGAGTTGGACGAACAACCAGAATGTTTCGCCGGAGTTTACTATTGGTGAACGCAAAGAAGTAGAAGAAACTAAGGCAACCGTTTGACTAAGCGAAGCTGCTAGACGCTACGACTGTAAGAATTTGTGGTGGGGGGGGGGGGGGGGGGGGGGGTCTTGGACGGCAGGGAAGGAAATGTGAAAACCAACACTAATGTTCCCGACCCCTGGTACTAAATAGATATAGTGCAGACCGCTTAAGGCGAACTAGGATGTGGCGAATTTCTGTTGCGGCTACCAATTTGTTTATCCCTAATAATATTTCTTGCCGGAAATCTTATTTGAATAAGAGGACTTTTTGATAAAAATAAATATTTCTTAGGTCCCTGGTAAGTTCTCCTTATCTGGTCTGCAATATATATATATATATATATATATATATATATATATATATATATATATATATATATATGTGTGTGTGTGTGTGTGTGTATGTTTGTGTGTGTGTATGTATGTATGTATATATGTATAATATATATATATATGTTTGTGTGTGTGTGTGTATATATATATATATATATGTTTGTATATATATATATATATATATATATATATATATATATATATATATATATATATATATATATATATATATATATATATATATATATACAAAACATATATATATATATATACACACACACAAACATATATATATATATATATATATATATATATATATATATATATATATATATATATATATATATATATACATACATACATACACACACACAAACATACACACACACATATATATATATGCATTCAGTTGGTTCCCGGTCTCTTTGGCAAATGCACTCCTACTATTACGACACGCTTGCGTATCTCAAAATAGGGCCCCGTAACACAGACACGCAAAGAAGGTAATATTAAACTCTACTGTTTTATTTAGGAGACCCAGATGGTTAGACGGTTGCATGCCATCTAAATGTCTAAGGTTCTAAACGGTAATGTGCCGGTCTTGGTCCCGGTTGCCTCAATATGGAAGAAAAAAAATAGTCGCATTGCAACACTAGAAGCACTGTAGTCAAAGCTGAATAATTAATAGGTTGATAAAATCGGGTGTGTTAGGCAGACAAGACTAGATATCGCAACGTAGCTGTAAACCACAACACAATGCCCCGAAATCAATTCTAATGGCAAATGCCGAGAAAGAAAAAAAAAAACCGAATCAAGTCTGAATTTTTATACTCGACCTTGCCTTCAGGCTGATCGAACCTAAACTGTTTAGCAGAAAAAGTCCTGGAAAATAAAGGCGACCATGGCGATCATGACCCCGTCATCCACCGAGTACTATGTGGATTATAAAAGTCCCCACGTGGGTTTTGGGGCTCCCATGGCGGGGGGGGGGGGGGGGTTGGAGATAGATCCACTACATTAATTGAATATCATGTAAGATGACTACTTATAGGTGTTGACGTTAAAGTAAGAGTAATACAAAAAAGCCGAGTCTGTAGAACGGGTATGAGCCCAAAACTTAAGTTCTGCAACGCAAACTTTACCGGCTCGCTGAGTGAATTACAAAAGACACTGACATTGACACTAGAGGCGATATTGTAGATATCAATAATCTATTTCAAGCAAAGTACAGAATTGAAAGTTCTGGAAGAAGTCCAAAGTCCAGAAGTGGAGGAACAACCAGAAAGTTCCGATGAAGTTAACAACCGATGGACGTTAGGAAAAAGAAAAAGAATATAGAATATAGGTCTATAGATCGCCCTTTATGTTCGACACACCGCTTTATGAGAATGGTCGGATACTTAGATATGTACACTTTTTATGTACACACAATTTTTCTGCTGCAGGACCCAGATAACCGAAGCCTTCCAGAAATACGGAGATACCATCGGCCTCCCTGGCAGAGGCCGTTTGGTGCTGCTGACCACCAACTTTGACCTCCTGAGACAAATCCTGATCAAAGACTTCAATAACTTCATTGATAGAAGTGATCGGTTTCCGTCGATAAGCCCATTTGGGAAATCTTTGTTTTTTGCAAAAGGTGCAGACTGGAAACGCCACAGACAAATAGTGTCCCCAACTTTTGCTTCCGGAAAACTTAAATACATTTCAAAATCTATTGAGAAATCCGCTGCGGATTTGACAAATTATTTGGAAAAAGCCGCTAAAGAAGATCAGATTGTACCGATCAAGGAGCTTGCTGGACAATATACTTGTGAAATTATCGCCAAAACAGCTTTTGGAATTGATGCTAAATTTATTGGCGAGAAAGACCCAGAATTTTATGAATACGCCAAAAATATGCTTCATTTGCCGAATCGACAAGGAATCTCGAAGCTGGTTGCTTTTCTGCTATCCACAGTTCCCAAGCTAATGGATTTCTCCTTGAACGTGCTCAAACTTCAGTATTTCGACGTGGTTGATCACAAAGCTAACGATTACTTTGGCGTCTCTTTGAGAAACACTATGGCTGAAAGAAGACAGCTTCAGAAAAGTGGTTCAGCTAGGTCCCATGTCGATTTCCTAGACCTTCTTATGAAAGCCAACGACGCAGCTGCGACCGGGAATTTACCAGCGTCAGAGGATCAAACCTGGGAGCAGCATCAGGATGGTAAGTCTGTCCAAGGGCTTTCTGAAGAAGAGATGATCGGCCACTCTATGTTAATCATCTTTGCGGGGATGGAGACGACTGCGACTACACTTCAAATGTGTCTGGCAGAATTGGCTTTGCATCCTGACATTCAGGTACGTAACGCTAACCAGTGTATTCAAGTAATCATTAACATCAGGTTCAGTATAGATTTAGGTAATAATCAAGAATCAAGTTCAGTATTCATGTAAGTAATTGTAAACTATCAAGTTCAGGACAATTAAAAGTATTCATTAACCATGAAGTTCAGTATCGATGTAAGTAATCACCAAATTATTTACTAATGTAAGAACCCCAAAAAAAAAAAAAAAAAAAACCAGTAAAGATCTATTTTCACGCTTTAGGCGCATCGGGCATATGGGAAGAGCACCCATATTTTTTCCAGACCAATCGGTATTGGGTAGGTAGTATGGTCAGCATTACGCCATCCTGGTACCCATTTTAGGCTGGGTCGACCTGCTACGCTCCATACCACGATAAAAATCCACGCAGCCAGCAGTGGGTTTTGATCGTGGTACGTTGGAATTACGAACTGGACTCGCAACGTCTGAGCCACGGACGCCGCACTAATGTAAGTAATCACAACTAATCAAGTTCAGTATGGCATAGGTAATCATCAAGCATCAAATTCAGTATCGATGTGATGAAACTCAGTACTGATGCAAGTAATCGTCAATTATTAGATTCAGCATTGATAAAAGTAATCATCAACAGTCAAGTTCAGTACTAATGTAAGAAAAAAGAAAAGAAACGAAAAAAAAACTCTGAGTGATGTTAGGGTAATATACCGCAATTTTTTTAGTTTAAATTTCTTTAAAGGTTACCTAATAATATAACTAAGACCACCTTATATATACCATAAACAACGGTAATATTTTTACTGAAAATACATAATAGCGAAAAAGTCGAGACCCTGGAAAGACAAGATCGCCCACGCCTGTCGGAAAGCCAAAAGATGATGATGGACATTATATTTTCAGATTTTGCATAGTGTATTATAAAAAAAAAAAAAAAACCAGACACACACACACACACACACACACACACAGACACGCACACACACACACACACACACACATACACACACAACACACACACACACACACACACCCATATATCCCATGTCCACCAAGCCAATCATTGCACTTAGTTTTCTTATACCATGTAACCATCGGGTTCCTCTCTCCTACTCCTTAAACGCAAGGATTCTCTGCTCGGCCTGCCCTAGCTTGCACACCTAAGAGTCTCATCGTATCCGCCAAGTGACCTGAGTAGATAATCAAAGTGGACTGCGTGGTCTGTCATTGTGTCCGCCTCGAGTGCTAGAGGTTCCAGATTCAATCCCTAGTAAGGGCAGGGGATTTTTATTTTCAAGCGAACTTGGCCTTTTAATTATTCCACCTGGTCTCAGTGTAGTGAGATCGGATGCCCGTGTGCATTTTTGCACACATAAAAATTTTTTTTTGGCAGTTGTAAATCGAAAAGAATAGCCTAACGGCGCTGCCCGGGCAAAATTTGGAGTTGATAAACTACCCAAAAGTATGTCAGGATCCTCGTCGGTGCTACAGAGCCTGCGTGCTGATTTCAGCTTCTTCGGACTCAAATTTGAGTTAGAAGAAGAACGGAGCACTTATGGGTTACACTCGTGTGCCATGATGTTAGTCCGTTGTTCAAAACCTCAAAGTAGATACTCATTCGATCTACACGCGACCCGAGTCACGTGACTGATGCTCAACCGAGATGTAAGGTGACAGATAAAAATCCTCCAAAAAGGCCAGATCGGGTGGCGCTGAATCTCTCGCTATGGATATGCAACTCGTTTGTTCTTATATAACGTTAACTTGCCTAGTAAAACCAAAGGAGCTAACAAATGCTGGGGTTGGTTCTGAAGCGTCTGTAAAGGTTAGAACAGTGTTCCCAAAACTTTTCTTAGTTGCGGCGTTTTTTAAATTAAAATTGTTCCACGGCGCCCTAACCTAAGTAAAAGTATGACGGTTTGTTAGTAAGAGATCGCGGCGACATGAAGAAGTCGCGGCTCCCCGGGGTGCTGGGACGCACAGTTTGGGAATCACTGAGTTAAAAAAAGACAAACTCACTAATATCCCATAATTTTCTTTGTTTCAGGAAAAAGTCTTCAAAGAAATTACATCTGTGGTAAAAAGTGAAACTCCGACACACGAGGAGCTGAACAGTCTCACGTACATGGAACAGGTTATCAATGAGACTCTTCGGATGTATCCCCCAGTCTCTATGGTAACGAGAATAGCGAAAGAAACGAGGACTTACAACGGAGTCACCATACCCAACGGGACTATGGTACAGATACCTTACTTTTACATACTGAACGATCCGAAGAACTTTCCAGAGCCCCAGAAGTTCGATCCGAACCGCTTCTCTCAGGAAGAGAAGGAGAAGCGAGATCCGCTTTCTTTCGCGGCTTTCGGGCATGGTCCAAGGTTATGTCTCGGCATGAGACTCGCCATCCTTGAACTCAAGCAAGGGCTGGTTCACGTTCTGAGGAAACTCAAGGTCGTTCTCAATGAGAACACTGAGCCGCAGAAGGGGTCGAATGAGATCAAGTTCACACTTCGTGGACTTTTGACGCCAGATAAAACAATTTTACTGAGATTTGAATTGAGGAAAGTTGACAGTTAGAGGGAAATTTCTTGAATGATTGTTTCATTTTTAACTTAAATTAACGAGAACTGCCTATGCTGAAAACAGTCATGATAAAACGAAGAAGGCAAAGAACGATGTACTTGGAATGCTTAAATAAACGTATAACCTCCAACAGCTTCATCAGATTGAAGGATGACAGAAATGGTGCCAGTGCTATCATCGTTGGTCAGACAGCAGGAACCATTTGTGTGTGTGTGGGCATTTTACACTATTCTATAATACTTTTTCTCTTTAATTCTTTAATTAAAATGTTTTGTGTGCGTGGCTTGTTGTTAATGTCACAACTATAGGAGGGCCCTAGGAAGGGTAGGGTTCCTATACAGGAGGTATCTTCAGTCTATAAGTGTGGCTCACTAGAAGTATGGTACTTCATTGTCTACAAGGGTAGAGAGACCGAGATATTGCTCCTGGGACAGAGGACAGGAAGATAAGGCTACCCCGCTCCGATGGGTGGTGCTAGGCAGACTAGTTATCCTGGTGGCAACTCCTCTGCCACTTTTAAAGAAAGAGCCCCCAGAGAAAGAAAGCGAAGAATGCCCCTTTCTCGCTCACTCAACTATTACTCACGCACAGCAACAAAGACAGACGAGAATAGTAGTGAATGAAGAATGATGTCGCTTTAATTTTACTGACAGCTGACTGGCTAAAAATTGACAGTGGTTTGGTGTTTGATTTTAAACCAAATGGTTATCATCATAAGAGAAATGTCTATTGGGTCCAGTTCCTTCCCCGCACGAGTACAGCTCACCCGTGGATACTCCCAAAGGCTGGACTTGATGGGGAAACCGGAACACTTGGCTTCTTGTAGATCTTATTTCTTGTGATATCCTCTTGTAGATAATCCACCGCTGATGTTCTTAAAGTTCAGATACGACACGTGGTCGTTTAGAAAATTCGACACGTGGTCGGTTACAATTACGACTAGTAGTCGGTTATGAATACTGGGATTAAATCCCTTAAACTGTCTCTTTGTCTGTGCCGATTCTATGGCGACATGACAATGGGTACAATTGTGTACTAATCGTTGAGTCCTTGGTGTTATGAAAAATGCCGCAGGGCTGGGGGAAGATAGTAAAAGCCCTGATAAGCGTGTGCAAAAAGGGAACACGTGGTTTCCCGAATTTGCTGGTTCTCTGGGCTCTTCAGAATTTATTAACTGAATTAAATATTAATATAATTCAGTTACGATGGTTTACAAAGTACACCGCATTTAATTATTAGCTTCAGTACTAACTTGTAAAGGTAAGGTTAAACGCACGTGGCCATATATATTTTTATATCGGTCAACTCCCGAACTCCAGCCAGCAAATTCAGGGATAACAATTTTAATATACTGCTACATTAATAGAAATTAAGGGTACACTTACAGAAGTTTCACAATTAGAAAAAGAGTGCCAACTTACCCCTCAGATCAGTCAGAAATCACTACAGTAATCCAGAACGAATTAATATAGAACTACACTCGCTAATCTGGATACTGCACTTGAAAAACTAACGACCTCCGCTCTCAACACAGTGGGAAATCAAATGGTCGAAACATGGCCGCTTCCGCTCAAGATGGACGACCCACGTGACGCCAGCCGTGCGCATGCGCCAAAAAGAGTTAGCGCCATCTGTTACCTTCTATTGATTGGTCGCAAAACTAGTATTACATGATTTGGATGTAACTAGTCCAATCTGGTTTTTAGCGGAAGTATTAGGGAAAATCGGGTCCTCTAAACTAATGTTATATATATATCTAGCTTCTGCCCTAAACTATAAGGTAACTAGGGGAGCGTCAGTGGTCATAGTCAGTACTGTCACATAGCCCCCCCGTAAAAAAAAAGTTCTGGGATCCAAACTTTTTAGAGACTAAGATGACCATCTGGCGTATCTCCTTCATCTGGGTTAGCTTGATCTTCTCCTCTTCTGGAGGGTGACGACTCAGGAAATCTGCTCCTACATTCTCTTTCCCCGGAATGTACTCTACTGTAAAAGTGTAGGGTTGGAGTAACAGTGACCATCTCATCAGCCTAGTGTTGAGCTTCTTAGATGCCGCTAGAAACATCAGAGGCTGGTGGTCACTCTGTACTTTAAATTTCGTTCCGTACAAGAATGGCTGGAATTTCTGCACTGCCCATACTAGGGATAAACACTCTTTCTCAATGGTTGAATAATTTCTTTCAGCACCGTTAAGCTTCCGGCTGGCATATGCTATCGGAAACAACATGGATGGTTCTTCTCTACCTTCCTGGAGTAGGGTCGCTCCTATTCCTATATTACTGGCATCAGTCCTCAACGTAAAGGTTTTAGTGAGGTCCGGGAGCTGAAGAATAGGTTTGGAGGTTAGCTTTTTCTTGAGGCTAGCATAGGCTGTTTCACAGTCAGCTGACCAACGCACCATCTCTGGGGCTCCCTTTTTTGTAGCATCTGTAAGTGGGGAGGCTATCGTGTTAAAGTCTTGTATGTACTTTTGATAGAACCCACACAGAGATACAAAGGACCGCACATCCTTCTTAGTTTTTTGGTCTAGGTGCCTTGTGCAACTTATCCACGTTCTTTTGTTCAGGGCACATATATCCCTGTGATATGGTGTGTCCCAGAAATTCTAGTTGTCCAAAAGCCAGTTTACATTTAGAAGGCCTGGCTGTTAACCCCACTTCTGCAAGCCTTCCTAGCAAAGTGTCGAGAGTGTTAAGGTGTTCTTCAAAATGCTCTGACGCGATGAGGATGTCATCCATAAAATGTTGTAGCGTTGGCCGTTTTAATGGGCCTAACAGCATTCTCATCATGCGGGTAAACACACTAGGTGCATTGCTAAGACCGAATGGTAAGACGTTGAACTCATAGTGCCCCTGAGGGGTGCTGAATGCTAAATAAGGGCGAACTTCTTCCTTTACTGGGATCTGATAGTACCCCTTACTGAGGTCTATCTTGGAAAAGTACTTAGCTTTACTAAGTCTAGAAAATAGTTGTCCTTGGTCAGGTAGGGGTTCAGGTTGGAATTCCGTCACCCCATTTAGTTGCCTGTAGTCAATGCAAAGCCGATGCTCCCCACTAGGTTTCCTTAGGAGCACAACACTAGCACTATAAGGTGATTCAGAAGGGGAGATAATTCCTTCTTGCAAAAGGTGAGCGATCTCAGCCTGGAGGGCTTCCTCCTTAGCATAAGGTATAGGATAACACCTCTGTCTGACCGGTTCCGTACTGGTCAGTTTCATGTCAAACTCGACCTGACTTGTGAGACCCGGTTTGTCTGTGAGCACTGCTGAGTGTGCAGTTAAGACCTCTCTTATTCTTTGTTGTTGCGAATCCAACAGGATGGGGTTTATTTCCACGTCCTGAGCTGTTTCTCGAGGTTGTAACGGGTACTCGACCCCTGCAGCCTCTCCACATTCGACCTCCGTAGCTACCGCAAGTGTCATCAAATGCACCGGGGTAGTTTCTGTTCTTTCGAAATACTTTCGAAGCAGGTTTATGTGAAAGACTTTCAGTTTTCCTCTTTTGGAGATCTTATAATTGGTGCGGGACACCTTCTCCACAACCGAGTAGGGCCCTTGCCAACCAATCTCCAGTTTATTGCTGCCACTTGGCAAAAGTAACATGACCTTGTCTCCTGGTTCCAGGAAACGGTCCTTGGCTTTCCTATTATAAAGGGCAGCATGTTTCTTGCGGGCGGCTTTCACATTTGACGTTGCCAGTTTCCAACCCATTTCCAACTTTCCTTTCAGTTCCTCCACATACTTGGAGGCTGTCACTACAGTCTCTTCCGCCTTCTCTTCAGTCCACGTCCTCATTAGGGCTTCCAAGGGCCCCTTAATAGGTCGTCCGAATAGAAGAGTAGCAGGTGGGATTCCCGTAGATCCATGGGGTACCTCCCTGTAGGCGAATAAAGCCGCTGGTAGGTACTCATCCCAAACCTCTGGTTTTTCCTGAGCTAACTTCCTCAGGATCGTCATTAAGGTTCCGTTAAATCTTTCCACCTGGCCGTTTGACTGTGGGTGATATGGACTAGTGTGGATATGCCGGGTTTGTAGAATCTGGAAGACTTCTCCCATCAGTTTCCCTCGGAACTGTGAGCCGTTGTCTGTCAAAATTTGATTGGGAAATCCCAATCTTGTGAAAATGGTCACGAGTGCTTCCGCTACTCGCTTTGAATCGATAGCGGGTAGGGCAATCGCCTCCCCCCACATCGAACAGGTATCCACCAAAGTTAAAATAAAGGAATTTCTTTTCTTGGTGCGAGGGAGTGGACCGACTATGTCGACTGCCACTCTCTCAAATGGAGTGTTCATCAATGGCATGTCACCTAAAGTTACTGGAACTGTCCAATGCCTGGGAGCTACCCTTTGGCATTCTGGACATGACTTTACATACCGCTTAATGTCCCCATTCATCCCCGGCCAGTAATAATGGCAGGCGATACGTTGCTGTGTAGCCCCAATCCCCATATGTCCAGAGAATGGGATAGTATGTCCCATGTGCAAGATTTGCGTCCGGTAGGGGGAAGGTACAACAAGTTGACCAAACTCGTCTCCATCTTTTCCTGCCCTACGGTACAGCAAATTACTTTTGACATAAAAGTTTCCCTTACTAGGAGGGGTTTGGGCTTTGGGCAACTTTCCGTAGCAAGGTTGAAGAGTGTGGTCCTGTTTTTGGGCAGCCCTTATTTCACCCGGAAGGGGGTTTAAAGGTTGAACAGGCTCTAGGCTATCTTTAGCCTGAGACCTGGTCTGTACAGCCGCGAGAGCTATGGGAGTAGATGGTTCACTTAAATAAACATACCGACACCCCAGGATAAAAGGATAAATCGGATCATCTACCACAGCAGCGGATACAGTCCCAGTAACATACTTGGACTCCACTTCAACTAAAGCTATAGGCAAAGTCATAGTGGGGGAACTCTTGGTAGCCCCGCGGACTTTAATAGTGTCTCCAGTTAGCTGGCCAGGTTCTACCAGATATGATGCAATTAAACTGTCATACTGGAGGCCGGT